AACAGATTTCTGTGTCACATCGTGCTGACATGAGCTGAGCTGTTTGGAGGATAAAAACTCTGGTACACTTTGAAAAGCAATCATCGGCGATATAAAGGCTTCAGGATTTGTAGTAAATCGGCTAAAAGGCTCCTTCAGATCGCCCACCGTCGTGATTTAATTCCCCCGCTGATAGCAGAGACCTGATTTATCAACGAACGCCGGCGGTCGGAGGTTGTTCTTCACCCTGAATGTAAAGAGGAAAGAAAAGGTCGGAGGAGGACGAGAGATCAACAGGCTGAGAGGTTTTATTTTGCACACATCGTAATTGAAGCGACACAAAAACCTCCATCAGACGAGAGCGCTGGATCAGCTGCATCAGTTCATCACTCCAGTCGTCGTTTTTTCTTCCCCCAGATGGTCTTTTATTCACCTCCTATTTATTCATCCCTCACTGAAGCGTGGCTCAGAAAACAACAGCACAACCAACTTATTGCATTTGCATAAATAAATGCAGCAATAATAATAATAATAACAATAATGAGGAAAATACCACAATCTGCACGGACCAGATAAACAAAACTCACTTCAGTCTCTCTGGGACGTTAAGAGAAAGCTGCGCTAAATGTTTTTTAACCCTTATCTGGATTTCTAATGTGCATTAAAACATCCAGTCTGCAAACGCGCTGATTATGACGTTTTAAAGGGAAATTCTCTTCTGTGGTTTCTGGAGGAATAAAAACAAGAGCGACTGGTCGCGTTTAGCAGGAAAATGGTGCAAAAGGAAACTTTTCTTATTCTGAGACTTTTAAAATGGAATTACAAAGGTTAAATGTCCATTTTTGTTTTGTTTTTTTAAGTTTACATTCACAATAAATGGCAGCCATGGTATTGTGGTAAACGTTTGTCCATTTAATGTGACAATTTTGCACAATTAATCCAATTTTATTCCCAGTTTTAGCTTCTTTAGATTTTTAAAAAAAACACATCAGGTGTGATAATAAAATGCTCTGCTCAAAGAAAACAGCCCATGTAGATAAAACCAGTTTCAACTTGGATAAATGTGGCATTAAAACCCATTATTTCACCGTTTTTAAAGCATTTCTTGGGTTTTTTGTGACCAATTCAACTTTAAAATGTCCTTTATTGATGGTGTCACACCAAAAACTAACTGAACTTTGCAACTTTTGCAGATTTTTTTGGTATTCTGCTAAAATAAAAGACAAACGGCAAATTATTTCACCATTTTTAAAGTGTATATATATATATATATATATATATATTCACAGATGTCTGCACTAACTGAATGGAGACTAGAAGCTCCCGTGTGGTGCACAATAATGTAAATGCAACCAAAAAACAATTAACACAACACTGAAAAAAGGAATTTTTTTGCATGATTTTGATTTAATTTAGTTAATCCAACTTAAATTAACAAGTAATATTAATTCTGACATGTCAAGTTAGATGCATTTAATCATTTAATTCCTCTTAAATGAACAGTTTGCATTTCTGCAGCTTCATTTCAAAGAAAGTCGACTTGAATTTTCTAGTTTTTCAAGCTTTCTAGACTTTTTTCCCTCCATTTATTTCCTTTTTCTTCTTTCTGATGCCATTTATTATGTAAATTTGCACATTTATATCACTCATCATATAAAACATCTTGAACAGAGCTTCATTTTAACCATTTTAGCCTTTGTATTTAGTAAGAATTGGATTAAATCTGCAGATATTCAACATTCGTGACCTTCATAACGTCCTGTACTGATGGCGTCGCACCAAAAACTGATGGAACTTCGCTACTTTTACTGTTTTTTTTAGGTTTTCTGCTAAACTAAAAGACAAACAGTGCTGAATGCGTGACCCGTTTTGTCAGAAATTAGACATTTAAACGAAAGCGACGCAGCAGTGGAGGAGAATAAAAAACATAAATGGCATCCTAACAGGGGAAATCAAACTTTGTAATTATTCCTCAAATGAGGAAACCTGTGGGATGTGAGGTGTTTGTGTTTGTCTGATTAAACAGTCAAACGCCTGCAGTGCTGCTGGCGGCCAGACTCTGTTTCCTGGATGATGAAGGGAAAGCGTCGACTGAGAGGATTTATGGATGTTGTTGCTGAGCGGGAGCCATCTCACAGCTTCACGGCCACTTTTTTGAAATCGCATATTTGTTCAACTTGTGGCGTCTCCCATTAACGGAGAGATTTTTATCATCTGATGATTAAAATAATGACTCTGTGCTGGGGCGTCCTGATGGATTCAGCTCACTTCTTATTCCTCCAGAGTTTCTCTTGGCGTCTCCAGAGACTTTCTCAACTTTCTCGCTTTCGTTCCTTTTCACATCTTTGACCTTAATCGCTCTGCCCGGTTTCATGAGAATGATTTTCAGGGAATAACGATTTAAATTATGAAGCTCATGTTTAATCGAAAGCAATCTTGCTCGCTCGGACTCGCAGAGATTCAGAGTGAAGTGTTTGGCTTATCGGGGAAATACCTTTTTATTCTTAGGAAGAGGAGATTTTATTTGATAAGACATTTCAGTACAGAGAGGCTCAAAGTTAGAGGAAGAGCTACACTGGAAAAACAGAGAAAAACATCCATTAAATCGTAAATTAATTTTTGTATTTTTTTTTCAAAGTGTACAAACAGTAATTAGAATTTAATAATAAACAAAATAAAATAAAATAATACAGATAAAATAGTACAAATACATGATTTTTTTTTGGTTGAATAAAGGTAAATAAATCAATTAATTAAAAATAAAAAAATACTGCTTGTAAAGATACAGATTTCTGATGTAGCCTTTATTTACAATTTTGGTCATTTTTATGTTTTTGTTTTTTAAATCTATATATAAATTAATATTCGTTAGATGTATTTTACTAGATGTTATCTGTAATTTCACAAAACTGTGAGAATCTGTAAAATGACAATACAATTTATTTTTTTCATATATTTCAATCTTTAACATACTTAATTTTCCTTTTAAATAACAGCAAATATCTGTAAAGCAACAATATTTTGATTTAAATAGTGAAACTGGTCTAAAAACTTAAAAAAAGAAACAATTACTGTTGATAAAAACACATTGTCTTGATGTCGCGGTTAGTTTAAGTTCTCACATTAGTATTTTCAAATTAATTGAATTTATAAAATTTTGCTAATAATTATCTGTAACTTAACAAAACAGGAAGAATCTGTGAAATAGCAGGAAATTGTTGGGAAATAAAAATACTAAACTGCCTGAAGACATTAGGGATATTTTTACCTGATTGGTAACAGAAATTTTGTATTAAACATTTAGAAGCTCCACCTGGTGGAACAACCAGGTACTACAGCTAATCTACAATAAGCGTGCATTGTCTAGAGAGTATCGTCAAGTTGAAGAGTGTTGAATGGCTTAAATCGGGACAATCCCTGGTCAGACTTCTAGATCGTCAGTCTTGAGCCCCGCTATGTTCTGAAGTGTTTGTAGGAAGGATTCATGGAGCTGCGTCCACATGAATCCAATATTTTAGGGTTCTTAATTTTCGGATTTTACGGGAACATTTGATTGATTGAACCTAAACTCGGTGAAGGTTTGATCGCCCTTGGTTTTTTTTTTTTGGTTTTTTTTCAGAGCTTCCAGTGCACGTGGCGGCACAAAACGCATGTTGCCTCTGTTAGCATTAAGTACTTAGAAGCTCCACCTGGTGGAACAACCAGGTACTACAGCTAATCTACGATACGTTTGAATTATGTAGAAAGTATCATCAAATTAAAAAGTGTTAAATACTCGGATCGGGACAATCCCTGTACATAATTCAAGATCGTCAGATCAGCCCCACTATGTTCTCGTACTGAAGGATTTACGGAGCTGCTTCCACAATAATCTGACATTTTAGGGTTCTTTATTTTTGGATGTTACCGGAACATTTGATTGATTAACCCTAAACTCCATTTGGGTCAGGGATTGCCAGAATGAATGTAGAAATCAAGTAAAGTTTAAAAAAAGATTAGAAAAAGCACATTTTAAGTCTTAATTCTTATTTAAAGATAAAAATAGCAGTTAAACTACTACCTCAGGGGATAATTGGGTCACGAGTCTGCTTTGGGCGTTGGTGCCTCAAACATTAGGCGATAACGGCGACAACTTTTATGATCAAGTAAAAACAAAACAAAAAATCGTAAAGGGCTACTATTGTGACGGAAACTCTGAGTGTTGCTCGGTTCTTGGAGCGTTTATACCGTCTAAGTACTTGTGAATATGCATGAGCTGTGCAGCAAACAGTGTTGTCAAGGCCCAAGTTTGCCCCTAAAAGTTTGTTTTTGTCTCTTTTTTTTTATTCGGCCAGTTTTTGTAGCTCTCTCTCAGGCGTCTCGACTCCAGCCGGCGGGCCGCTGGGAAATCATGAGTAATAGGTTTCTGGGGTTTCTAGTTGTGCACACTCACATACAGATGAATGTGCAGGTGTTTGCAAAGAAACTCACATTTCATCCAGATTGAAATAAGATAAATTCGGTGGAATCATGAGCTACAGTAAGTGTTCCTGGTTGCTTGTTCCTCTTTATATACACATTAAAACACATAATAAACTTTAACTCCCCTCGGCCTCCCACTCTGTGTTTGAGTTGTTATTTTAGCAGCACCTATAAAACACAGCCCATAATGGCAGCTATGGAAACCACACACACGTTATACAACTTAAATGAGTCGCTGTAGCTACTCTCTCAATGTCAGTGGTGTTTTTACAACTTTAATGCTCCAAGTGCATTAAAAAATCAGCGTTTCTGCATTATTTATGTCGTTTTTTTGAGAAATTATGTGCAGTAGAACTTTGTCAAAGCTCTCAAAACTGAGCTACATTCAGGTTACGCACCCCGATATCCTTCTCATCTGATTTTATCCTGCGCTTACTGTCACTGAGTCGTAATTTCAGGCTGATTTGAAAGATTGCTTTCACCTACTGTTCCTAGAAGGTCGCCCAAAGCTGGTAGAAAACTCAATAAAGTCTTTCTTTCTCGTGGTCTCCATCCTCCAGGCTGCCACCCGTCGTGCTCCGCCTGCCGTGGACCGACTCAGCAGGACTGCATCTCGTGTTCGGACCCGGCTGCCTTGCTCAAAGACGGCGTTTGCGTCCCTGACTGCGGCGCCGGTTTCTACAGCCAAGACGGCATCTGTTACGGTAAGATTTACTCAATCCCAGAGTGCACTTTAAAAGCTGTGTAGCTAAAGAGAAGCTCCATGTGTTTGGTGGCTTAATGAGAGCAGTGCAGCTGATCCGTGTGGGATGTTGGTCTGAACACGTTTCAGTGCTTTCAGTGTTAAAAAAGCAAAAATATGTTTAACCGAAGAAAGAAAGAAAAAATGTCACATTAAGAAACTGTAAAAACTGTGAAAATAAGAGCAAATAGGACCGTTAGCATGAGAAAAACAACCATAAAAAGACACAAAACTATCACAAAAAGACATAAATCTACTACAAAAAGACACAAAACTACTAAATACGACACAAAACTACCACAAACTGACACGAAACTACTATAAAAAGACAAAACTACTACAAAAAGACACAAAACTACCATGAACAGACACAAAACTACTATAAAAAAACACAAAACTATCACAAAAAGACATAAATCTACTACAAAAAGACACCGCATGGTAAATTTCTTCTCCTTTACTTTAAATAAACCCAGTTTTCTTTTACTTTCATCCCCTACAGCTCATATTTTCCCAGAGTTCTTTTGGAAACTTCCAGCAAATGCACTCAAACATTTTCTATTCACCCATCTGAACATTCTGACGGGAAGAACTGAACTAAACTCCTGCATTAGGTTGTTTTTCCAGTAAATATGACCTTGTTTCTGCACAAAGAGCAAAAGCTGCATCCGGTGTTTTTCCTGCTGCAGTAATTGTGCTCTGATGTGAAGCCTGACCGGCTATGTTGGGGTTCGAAAGTCTTCAAATTGGAGGAGACGAATCAGCTATTAAGTGTAATCTTTGCAGCCCTGAAAATACCTCAAGACGACTTTGTTTTAATTTTAAAACCCTCGGGGCGTCCGAAAGGTCAGCTTGGATTTTCTTTTAAAAGAAGGAAACAAAGAATGTGCTGCGCTCCTGAAGCTGATGTTTAAACAGACAAATGTGGCAGAACAGAAAACGCCATCTGAGACGATTAAAGGTTCATTGTTCTTGTCGGTGAGCTGAAGGTGGAGGTTTGATCGGCCTCATTTTGCTCGTTATTATCTGTAACTTAACAGAACAGAAAGAATCTGTAAAGAAAAAAAATACAGCAAAACTGGCAGGAACATTTGGGATATCTCTACCTGATCGATATCAGAAATGTAAATATTGCCCTTTATAAATAAAACATAACAATCAATAACTGTTATACGCCACAACGCATGGTACACATAATATAACATGTTTCGCTGGCCGGAGGTCATGAACAGTCTCAGAAGACTTTGCCGTGGTGCCTCTTTGCTAGCTAAACTCTGCTTCTGTTTGTGTTAAACATTTAGAGGCTCCACCTGGTGGAACAACCAGGTACTACGGCTAATCTACAATAAGCTTGCATAACCTAAAAAGTATCGTCAAATTCAGTATTACATGACTTGGATCGGGACGATCTCTGGTCAGAATTCAAGATCAACCCCCACTATGTTCTCTTATGGTTCTGTTTCAACAAAAAGTGTTTGTAGGAAGGATTCGTGGAGCTGCTTCCACATTAATCTGATTAATTAATCTGATAGTTCAGGGCTCATGTTTGGATTTTACAGGAACATTTGATTGATTGACCCTAAACTCAGTGTAGGATTGATTAGCCTCGTTTTTTGTTTTGTTTTGTTTTTAACTTCCCTGCTTTGGGAAATTAGGGTTAAAAAGACACAAATCTACCACATAAAGACACAAAACTACCACAAAAGACACAAA